TTCCTGCTGACTCACTGATTTGTGAGGTTTTGCTTTCCCCTTCGAGACTCATTACTGTTAACTCAGTTTTCATAACCCCAAAGGTGATGAAATTCATTATCTATTTTCAGATTTCTGGGTATAAGGCACTATAGCTAACCCCCCTGTCAGTCTCTGCCACTGTTATTTTCCTGCTAACGTAGGGAACAGATGAGGCAGTGGGGCCCCGGAAGCTGATCAGGCCCTAGGAGCACGATGCCAATTTTCTGAATGGATGTTAGCGTGAGGACTCCGGTGTTTACGCTGTGATGACTCACTCGTCAGCCCTCCGTGTGTACTGTCATCCAGAAACCTCCGAGAGTTGGTTCTGCTTCAAACTAAGGGAATTTTAAGTTTAATGGGAAATTTGCCATGAATCTAATAATCTTTACATTTTATGATTTCTTAGATCATTTTTTTATTAAACAAAAGTTTGGCCGTACGTTGCTTACTGAGATAGGAAAAGCAACGTGCCTTTTCTAAACTCCGTATGCTTCCGTTTTCCCCCTGAATCCTACAGATGTCTTCAATGAGCGGGACAACTGTCCCTACGTCTACAACACTGACCAGAGGGACACCGATGGGGACGGTGTGGGTGATCACTGCGACAACTGCCCCCTGGTGCACAACCCAGACCAGGTAATTGACCGGGGATTGATCAGGTGTGGCTAAGAGCAGCGGGGGCAGAGGAGCTTCTCAGTCACAGGACGTGCGTGTTTGCAGCTTTCCATCCACCTACCAGGACGCGACAGCACAGGCTTTTCAATCACTGTAATTGAAAACATTGAACTCAGGTCTGAGCATGACTCGTATCTCCGTGGCCACTGGCCAGATGACTGGGTGCCTTTGTCCCACTGTCTGAAAGGAGAGGGTCTTCATCTGCTTATCTCCGTGTTTCCCTGATGCAAACACAGGAATTGGCTGCCTTTCCAGATTTGCCTTTGGAAGACACGGTGAGAACATAACATACTGATGTGGTTCCTAGAACGTGTCGCAGCAGATGTTGTCAGAAAGGACTTGATTCTGTTGCAGCTCATTCTTTCCAGTCTTCCTTAAAGAAAGTGAATCCCCGTAGGGAGGTGGGTTAGGATGGACAGTGGCCGTTTCCTCTCTGCGGTCACGGCTCACGTTGGGAGTGAGGTGGTACAGGCCACGTGCCCTCGGTGGCTTTCAGCCTGGCATCTGCTTCACTGGATGGATGCTCAGTGCTGCTGTCTCCGAACTCTGTCTCCCAGACCGACGTGGACAACGACCTCGTGGGCGACCAGTGTGACAACAACGAGGACATCGACGAGGACGGACACCAAAACAACCAGGACAACTGCCCCTCCATCTCCAACGCCAACCAGGCCGACCACGACCACGACGGCAAGGGGGACGCCTGTGACTCGGACGACGACAACGACGGTGTCCCCGACGACCGGGACAACTGCCGGCTTGTGGCCAACCCTGACCAGGAGGACTCAGACGGTAGGTCCTGGGACAGCCTACCCGCAGGGGCAGAGAGGTTGCAGGAGCGCGAAATGCCGGGAGAAAGAAGTATGTAGTCCGACTGCTGACGTGAGTAAGTGGTCCATTAACACAGGATCTGGAGGGGGCAGGAGTCTCAGGTAGCGTGGCAGGTAATGTGGCAGGTGCACAGCTGGGCTCAGTGGTGGCTTGGTTGTCCTCTGGCATCCGCTGGAGCCTGTGGGTGCAATCCCGGCTGACCCGGGTGCTGCCTGGAGGATACACATCCACCGTGGATGAGATGGGGTGTGGGGTGTTTGAGCCCACACGACCCAGAGGCACGTGGAGACTCACTGACTGAAGGGCAGCTCCAAGGACCCCCCCCATCCCAAGAGCAGCACAGAGCTCATTCTTGACAAGAGGACAGACGGCTTCAGTCCCCACAGTGGGGCATGGGGGCGCTTGCTGTCTACTGAGTAGCCTTTTACCAGGAGGGAGGCTGCGATGGGGGCAAGGCTGGCGTGCTCAGGGGTGTCTTAGGGGTTTTGGAAGCTCCTTTTTGCGTGAGTGTGTGCCTGTCACCCAGTGCGTGGATGTGTGTTACTGAACAGAACTGAAGGATAGTTTGAAGGATGTGATGGAAATTTGGTTGAACTTGGTATCTTTTTCTCCTTCTAAGCAGTAGGCACTGCGATGGCCTAATTGCAGTGCTAAGTGGTCATCTGGATCGTCACTATTACCACGAACTGCATGGCCGTGAAGGTCTCAGAGGCATCTCTCTGTGTGCCAGGCTGGTCCACGGCCCCATGGCCGCATCCCCACCTCATCAGAAAATTTGACAAGATGCTTCCAAAAAACAGAAGTCCACATCTCCCTAGGGAAATCATGTTTCATGAAGGAGCTCTGCTTTCAGTGCCAAACAGATTAGAGGCAGGGCTGATTTAGGTAATAGTAGAGGTTCTGAAGACTATCAGAGAAAAAAGCTGGAAATTCAGCTTGACTTCACTTGGCAGCGTTCAGGTTTGGTAGCCCCAGTTTCAAGTTCAGAAGGAAGTGAGAAATGACTCCACAGGAACTGGATTATGGCCTGCTTTGCTGCAGGGCTTATCACAGCAAAATTTTTTTTTTTTTTTTTTTTTTTTTTTT